ATATATAACTATAAAACTGTGTATGTTGTCACAGATAAATAGGTATACTAGATAGTATTTAAACATAAAGGATATTATAGCAGACACTCTGAAAAAAAAGCAACGACAAACACTATATAATAATTACTGAAATAAGTTCTAATTTTGTACTGAAAAATGAATTGTTTTACTGTACGACCTAAAATTTTGTGAGGTATTTTGGAGGTTTTTTATCATTTATTTTATGCGTGTGATTTGCTCAACATCTTCAAATAGTGCAGACCAAAACTGTCATATTTTGATTCTAAACCGTAAAATGTTACTGGTATTTGAACAGAAGCAGCAAGTAGTTTTCTTTGACTTTCTGACTAATATTTTACTTGCTTTGCCTTAAGCATTTCAAAATGTCTGATCCAGTATAACTATCCTTCACATATTGAAGTTCTTATCCCTTCATTCTGTAATGCAGCGGATGCTCGAGTAGATAACATTTTTCTTCCAACCTTTATTAGTACAATGTATAAAATGATGAACAGTTTGGCCAGAATCTGCATGTTACACTGTGTCACATACCAGAGTTTGCTATATGGTCCTAAAACACACAGTGCAGGAAATTACAATTCTCCTTCATAAATTGACCTCCTGACAGTCTTTATACTGTACATCTTAGAAGCTTGTTATATTAGCACTGATCAGTCAGCTGATTTGATGAATGAAAATTGTTACCTTTAAAATGTAATGATAAAACGTTGCTTATATTAGACAGCAAAGTTGCATTTATTTGTTTTACATGTAGCTAGACTGTTTTTGTTGTACTTAATTTACTACCTGTGACCTTTTTACCCAAACAAGAAATGTTGTCATATTTTATATAAGTGACTGATGCAATTTTCATTAAGATCAAAGTGTGTGTGTGTGGGGGGGGGGGGATTACAGTTACTGCTATTCTATCTTTCTGTCTGTAGATCGCTATATTTTGGAGATACAATTTCCTAATAAATATTGTAACTAACACATTTGAATAAATAATGTAAAGTGTTACAATGCAAAGTACGATAAACGCTGAGGGCTGCATGTTTTAATTGAGTATAAAAAAATTTATCCCACAATACCTTTTAAAAACACAAAAAGAAGGTCAGATAAATTTAACATAATTCATCTGATCCGAATAATTAGTGGTTATATGCCATGCCATGGACAAATTCTGTTGAAAGACAAACTCGATTGCATGATTTTGCTAGGTTTAATCATTTCATTTCAGTAGGCCATCACTTATTCCTCGATAAGTTATCTCATAGTCCATTTTAACCCAACAAACCTTTTAACTGCTAGCAGCTATCTATTTTATATTTAATATTTATTTTCTCCTATCTAAAGCCAGCTGTTTCACTAGTTTTCATACACATTCTGTGATATAACATTTAAGTATCTTTTCAAATACCTTGAGTGTTATAATTTTATTTTTTGTTGAGTTATTTAGTTCTGCTTTCAAATGTTTATTGGAACACCAGTGTCTCAGGAATAAACCAGTTGTATATCTAAATACAGATGTGCATTGTGTGTATAGATTACAAGCATGTATCACATATTACATGTAGTTTTCTTTTCTTCTTTGTTCTTCTTCCCTTAAAAAAACAAACACTATCCATTAGTATAATATATATGTATTTTCATACTCGTTGTTATGTCCTATACCACCAAGATGCAGTATGTCATTACAAAAAAATCCATAGGGAGAACATAATGTTTTAAGTATAATAATAAATAAGATTTGAATACAGTTTGGATATTTTATGGATGATTTGAAAGTCATGTGTGAAGAGTAGTTAGTTCAGATAAATTGATTTCAATAAGTCAAGGCATTTTTTGTTTTTCTCTTTCAAGTTAACCCAATTTTATTCTTGGGTCTGTTTTTTAATGCTCTGTCTCTTGTAACCCTGCCACACACTTTTGGGAAATAGTTGAAACTTTGACTTTGATTTCCAAAGCCCCTGTAAAAATGCCCACACTTCAGAATCAATCAGATTGAATAATACAGCCTGAATGCCCTGTATTGTAAGTTTGAAATTGCACCTGTTATTTGGGGCCAAAATAAAATGTCTATAGGGATAGACGAAAAGCAAAGCTCAATTTCCCATCACTTCCCAAAAGTTGGAGGTGAAGGGTCACAAGGGACTGGTGCATGGGTCATATTAAAGTAAAGTTAAAAATTGGAGATTTAGATTAAAATTCTTACTTTTACTGTATCCATGTCATTCATATTTCTGACATTCAAGTAATTAGGACTCGTGAAATTGTCTGTAAATAACAGGCAGGTTGGAATTGGCTAGGTAAACATAATTCTATTTTGAAAGTCAAACTGTGTGTTATATTAAACCAACAAAACTTCAAAGAATAGCATTATTTTCCTGAAAATATCAAAAATTGTATCTTTAACTATTTTCTTGTTCTAAAATTTACTAATTTGAAAATTACATTTATTTTATTTAGTTATATCTATTTTATGGGTTGAAAATTATGTAGCACATACTGAAACTAATTATAGCATAATGTTTTACAGTTGTTCACATCACTATAAAAATACAAGCATAGATCTTTAAGTCCCCATAGAATGCTTTATGTAGCTTCATTGAAATCTATATACAATGCAATTTTTTCAAAGCCTTACATGTTCGTTATATTCGTGTATCTGTATTTAATCTCCCTCGAATTCCTTGTTCACTTCCAGCTTGAGACAATAGATATTTCAACCTTCATTAGTTCCAAATATTCAGTAATTTATAGGAAAATAGATGCCAGAAATATTTAAATAGAATAAGAGGGAATATTTGCATTCAAAGAATGTAATTTTGTTCTTTTATCTATTTGGTGAACATTAAAATTAGTTTAATGTATGTATGGAAAACAGTACATGTTTAAATGTTTTGTTTGTGTCACTCTTGGAAATTGTAGTGAAGCTAAGAATGTGTTTGATCTACAAGATAAAAAATTTATGTTTAAGGGTACAAAACAGGCTTTTTATTACTTTTAAGCTGAACTCTTTGAGTTCATTTTGAAGTGTATGAGTGTGTGACACTTGTTCTTGTCATGATAACCAATATAGATTAGAAGTTTTTAGTTTTCAAGTTAAATTTAAGCAACAAGTTTTATACAGCAGTTCACTGTTTCAATCAAAAAAATTTCCATTGATGTTCCGCAAATAATTAGTACAATTTGGTTTAATTCCACGTGTTTATACTTTTTGCATTGAATGATTGGTTGAAAGAATAGGAATTATAATTTAGTTTTTCTCAAGGATACAGACTAGCGGTATATAACTATAGCAGGTTTCCTGGTTTTATATGAATCAAATAAAACTGTAAAATTGCTTCATGGGCATTCCCAGAAGGACAATGATAAAGTCATTGAAGTTTGATGAACTCAGGAATTTCAGAGACGTTAAAAAATGTTAAATGAAGGATAATAAGTCTGCAAATATCACAAGAATGAAGCCATGCCCTTCTGAATTTATATAATGGACTTGCCATGCTTTGTATTTTGTTTGTTTGAAGGAATTTTCCTATCAAGCAACTAAAAATATAGCCTGGTCTTACTGCTTAAATGATTTTCATGCAGGCTGACCTGTCTGTTTACTAGTGGCATGGACTACCCCTATCACTGCTGCCCTTTGCATACTAAGAGTTGAAATATATATGTTTTCTTTGTGTATAAATTTAACTTGTTTGAGGAATAAAATGTAAGCTATATTAAATGTAGATACAACGTATAGCAGTAACTAAGGAACTAAGTGTTGTTTCCTCATTGTAATTATTTTTTCATCCAATCATCTTCATTATCATCCCTTCATATTTTGTTCATTTTTCTATGATTGTATTAATATCAAAATTTTTTTTAATATAATAGAAGGAATTTGAATAAAAAAATTTACAACCCAGGATATTGAACTTGAAAAAGTTAGGGCACATTTAGACAAAAAAATAACATATTAATGATATTCTTTTAAGAGAAATATATATCAGGGAAATTTAAGTTTTTGAGAAGTCATATTTATTAAGGATATCATTAATTTTTATGTAACTAAATATACTCTGTTGTTATTAAGATTACCAAATGTTTGTTTGTGTTCTTTAGTAAATATTGTACTTGATTTTTTTTCAAATATCTCATACTACTTATTGTATATGATTGCTTGCATCAGCTTTAACATTTTCAAATGCATCTTTTTAAATGAACATGAGGGTCAGGGATATACAATGTACCATAAATTGTAGTTGATATATCAATAACTATCTTCATTGGAAAAGATCAGGGATACAAGTTTGTTAACTTCTGAAATCTGAGTCAGTTTTAAAGCTTACTTCAATTGATGTACTTCTGATGTTTAAGGGCTATCAAGTGATTGAACATACACTACATTATTCCTGTCCTCCAATTAAAATTAATGAGTACTATATACTGTTATAGGCAGAATCTAAATAGACAATTACAATACTACTTTATTATTAAAGATAAAAGAAATGATGGAGTTACAAGTTGTTAAATTTTGCAAACAGCTTCTTTAAATAAAGAATTAGGGATGAATAAGGGATATTTTAGGTTAGGTTCTGGAGATGTTTCGTGGCCAGTCTTCAACTGTAAGTTACAGTTTGATTCTAATGGTTTCTTGTCACCTTTATTACAACATTATTAAAAGAAACTTGTGTTGCATATCGTATTAAAGGTAATTTTAAGCTTTGTTATGTCTTAATGAATCTCCATGTGAAAATATTTGCAATTCTTTTCCAATATTTTTATTAAACCAAGCTTTCTTATAAAAATTGTGAAAATTGGGCTGAAAAAAGCATATTTATGAATAGTTGCGGAATTGGGCTGACAAAAAGAAAATTACAGTGATTCTGCTATTTCTTTGGCGAGAAATTTTATTTGGTAAATTCTGATTAATAGAAAGAAACAAAGCACATGGAGGTTTATCTTAGATGTTGTTTTGCACTGTTTGAATATGTTTTATTTTTATTTTTCAGCCTCCACTACCATCAGGAACCTTCCACGGTTCACAAAACCCCCAACAAAGGGGTTCCCAACCTCCCCCACCCCCTCCTCCTGATCACTATGGTGCTCAGCGCCATAGAGATAGAAGCAGTGAACCCCCAGAAAAAAGAGGTAGATATGATCAGAATGCAGGAGGTAGTGCTCTTGATTTCATAAAACAAGAGTATAGTGGTGAGGCAGAATCACAAGACCAGTTTCAAGATCGCAAGCCAGAAGCATGGCAAGGATTTGGAGGGGAACAATTTCCTCAGTTGCCACAACAGGTTGTTACATCAACCCAGCTGCAGGAGCAGTTTGCTGGGAGGGGTCTTATAGCTGTTGGGGCACAACATTTGTTAGGGCAACTTCAACCTGGGCAGGGTCTTTTGGGAGAGTATGGTAGTCAGCAAAATGAACAGTTAGCGGCAATTGCCTATGGTGCACAAACTGCATTTGTAGGAGGGTTTAATCCACCTGTTGCTACAATTAAACAGGAACCTGCTGAACCGGCTCAGCAAGTATGGCCGGGTCAAAACAGGGGGCAAAATCAGCATGCAGGTCAAAATAATGCAAATAGGGGTCCGCCCAATAGACCAAGTCAGAATTTTAATCAAGACCAGAATAGAAACCAAGGTCAAGGTAGTAGACCTAACTCTGGGTTTGGGGGTCAAAGGAACCCTACACCACCAAATTCAAGGGCAAATCAGTATGGGTCCCAGCCTCAGGGTTCATTCCAACAAAGAAATGTTGGAAGTCCTGGTGCAAACAGAAATCAAAATATGCCAGGTAGAGGCAACCAAAATCAATTCAATGGTGAACAAAGTCAAGATCAGCAAAACTCAGATTTACAAGATGATAAGCAAATTAAACGTGAGAGACGAAGGCCTAGTAAATGGGATACACCTGATGATAAAGACAGTGAAAATCCAGAAGCTGGACAACAAGACTTTCAAAATGCTTTGTCTAACTTGAGAAGTAAAATTGCAGAACAGGAAGCTGCAAATGCTCAGAATAATCAAGGTGATCATAAGCCTCCAATGAATGAGTCTGGTAACCATGATTTTAATCGAGGGGGTCCTGGGGGTCCACCAGGTGGCCCAAATAAAGGGGGTCCTGGTATGCCAGGTATGATGGGTCCAGGACCTAGAGGTCCGCCTCCAAGAGGTATGAATCCAAGGGGCCCACCTCCAGGTAATTTCAATGGTCCACCTCCACCATTTGGTCAACCAGGCCCAAGAGGTCCAAGGGGCCCTGGCATGGATGGACCTCCACCATTTGGTAGAGGTCGAGGTGGTTTTCAAGAAAGAGGTCCACCACCTCCAGGTAATAGGGGTCCTCCACCATTGAGGCCATTTGGTCCAAGAGGTGATGGGGATGGTCCAAGGGGGCCGGGTGGTCCAGGACCTGGTTGGAATCCTAGGCCAGGAGGTCCTGGTCCAGGGGGTCCTAGAGGGTTTAATCCAAGAATGGGTGGTCCACCAGGCCCAAGAGGCCCTTTTCCTGGCCCGCCTGGTAGATTTAATCGTCCACCACCTCCAATGGGACAGAATCGCTGGCAGAGGCCCCCGCACTAGATCAGTGAAGTTGCATGTCTCATGTGTTTGTTGAAATAGATGTTTTATAATATATTCAGACATTGGTAACTGTGCAGCTGTCCATCTGTTTCTGTTAACATATTGTTTAGTCTTAAGGCTTCATAGCAATCTTAATTAGCATGTGTTATTTAAAGAAATTTGTGTATTGGTATATAGATAAAATCACCATGAATTTAACTTATTTCCTGCTTTTATATGTAGATTGGTTTGCTTATCTTTATTCCTCGTACAATAAAATATGAAACATAATAACAAGTATCAACATATTCTTAAGTTTCTAACTTTTCAGCCAAGTTTCTTAAACATCTTACTTAAATATATTTTGTAAATATTTACTTACCAAGTTGAACATAAATCAAATTTTTCTTCTTAGAGAAATAAGACAATTTTTTTCTGCTTATAAATTTCCATAACATGATAATTTTGATTCGCATAAAAATTCATTATAAGGTAACTTTATTTAGCTTAAATTTCTCGTAAAAATCTTAATCAGGCTCAATTTTAGTTAAGTGGATTATAATTTTCCATTTCAGTTAATGAATATGGCTTGTTCTTGCGTACTTGTATTTTTTTTTTCAGTTGATATACTCGTTTTCTAGTTAATCCCTAGCATTAATGTTGTACTTCCACCTTCCTACAGTTTGCTTTTCAGTTGGGTTTTAGACATATTATGGAAAATTTGTTATTAAATAACAGTATCATTTCCTTTTCTAGTTAGTACTATATTTTACTGATTTTAAAAATCTTTTGTTTTATTCACTGAACTTATTAAATGGTCAGTATAGTCAGGAAAATTTTACCTAATTCATATGGTTTGGTTTCTATCGTGCTTTTTTAAGCAAATATGTTTTAACTAAATTGAAGATAAAAGAAGTAAGGAGAAAAAATATTGAACATAATCATTTTAAAAGAAGATTACTAAAACAAAGCAGTTTATTTTTGTGCTACGATCTTTTTTAGCCAAAAAAAATATATATAGTTTTAAGCATTATGCACGTTTGCATGCTGTATGTTTTTGTAGTGTGTTTCAAAGAAAGCTTTATAATACATATTAGAAACAGCTTTGTAACATTACAGTTCTTAATATTTCTAGTGTTTTCTTCATTTTTAATTTCAGTTTATCCAAGAATCAAGTTTTTTGTGTGTCTTTTTTCAGGTGTTTTTTTTTTCTTCACTAAAATAGTCATTTCAGCTTTACAGAGTATAACAAATTTAATTACTAATATTTAACAATATCTGTTTGAAACACCCATTTTGTGTTGCAATGTTTCCCATTTTCAGGAGATCAGGAGCTTCATTGAGCACACTTTTATAATTTTCATAAGTTGTCGGAGATTGTGAATGATATTTTAACAGGCAGACATTTAAAATAGTCCAGGTTTTAATGGACTGTATAAGACTATATTTAAATTAAGACATGTGATGAATTTGTTAAATTTAGTGTCTTTTATGTCTTCAATTTCAGCTCATTTGTATAAACTCATTTGTTCTATAATGTTGACTTATTATATGTATTTAAAAAGTAAATCATGAGACAATTTTAAGAAGTTTGTGATTTCTTACTACTACCTGTACTGTGTTTTTATGCCACCGCAGCATCTGCGATGCGGTGGCATATAGCGATTCACCTGTGTGTTTGTTTGTGTGTGTGTGTGTGTGTTATATAGATTATATAGTGAACTTAAAAAATCTTCTTGTGAAAAACCACTAGTCCAATTTCAACCAAACTTGGCAGGATTGATCCTTGGGTGAAGGGCTTCTAAAGTTGTTCAAAGAATTTCATTCCATGCAGAAATCTGGTTGCCATGGCAACCAAAAGGAATTATAAGAATAAATTTAAAAAATCTTCTTGTAAAGACTCAAAAGGCCTAGAGCTTAGATATTTTGCATAAGGCATTGTCTGGTAGACCTCTACCAAGATTGTTCAAATTATAGCCCTGGGGTCAAAATCGGCCCCGCCCCAGGGGTCATTGATTTTCACTATATGTACATATAGTAAAAACTTAAAATACCTTCTTGTGTGAAGGTACTAGGCTTAGAGGTTTGATATTTGTTATATGTTATTATCTATAGGTACTCTACCAAAGTTGTTCAAATTTTGCCTCTAGTGTCAAAATCAGCCCCACCCCGGGGGTCATAGGTTTTCCTTATATGTATATAGTAAAAACTTAAAAAATCATCTTCTCTAAATTCACCAAGGCTAGAGGTTAGATATTTTGCATGAAACATTGTGTAGTGAACCTTTAGCAAGATTGTACAAATTATAGCCCTGGGGTCAAAATTGGCCCCGCCCCGGGGGTCATTGGTTTTCACTATGTACATATAGTAAAAAATCAAAAAAACTTCTTGTCTGAAGGTACAAGGCTTAGAACTTTGATATTTGGTATATAATATCATCTATAGGTACTCTACCAAAGTTGTTCAATTTTTGCCTCTAGTGTCAAAACTAGCCCCGCCCCGGGGGTCATAGGTTTTCCTTACATGTATATAGTAAAAACTTTAAAAAATCTTCTCTAATTGACAAAGGCTAGAGGTTAGACATTTTGCATTAAACATTGTGTAGTGAACCTCTAGCAAGATTATTCAAATTAAAGCCCAGGCCCTGTGTTCACTAAGAAAATATCAGGATCAGGATCAAGTGATCCTGATTTTATTTTCACTTTTTTATGTTACTTAAAATTAATCGTGTTTTGCTGGAATTAAATGGTAAATATTCAAAATGTAAAAAATTGCTGATTTGCAAAGAAACAAAACTATTTTGGGATAAAATCAACAAATAACAAAACAAATGCAAAAATATTCGGATTAAAATAAGGATCAATTTTAGGATCAGGATCAATATTTGGATCATCTATAAAAAGCCCATATCTTGCAAAAATAGCAATAAATTTATTCTTTAAGTTCATAAACTTGCTATTGCAAGTCAATTTTTATCAAATTAATATAAGACATTTAATCTATAAGGATAAACAATGAAGAATATTGGAGTTTTTAAACTTGATCCTGATCCTGATCTTGATCCTTAAATCTTTGTGAATACGGGGCCTGGGGTCAAAATTGGCCCCGCCTCTGGGGATCATTGATTTTCAGTCACTATGTCTAAAGTAAACTAAGTAAAAAATTAAAAATCTTTTCTGAAGGTACTAATCTGATAATAACAGATAGGTAAGTGATCTATGCATTATGGCAATCTGTATAGAAACAAAAAAAAATGTGTTGTATTTATGCGGTGGCATGGCATTTTTTACAAATGCAATCTTGTTTGTCTTTGCCCCAACATTTGTTGTCAGTCAAAATTGGCAACTAATATATTAATGTTTAATAAATTCTATGCAAGTACCATCTGAAGTTTATATCATTAACCATTACATTGAAATTTGGTTCCCTGCAATATCTTGGATCATGACTGACATAATCTTTTCTGCAGCGAAGATTTATGAGTTAAAGCATATAATTCAGATGAGCACTCTGAGCCAAAATTTATGACCTTATTGTTGGAAACGCTATGTATTACATGAAATGTCTAACCAAGGCCTTGTTTGATCAATAGTAGAGAGTTTCCGCTACAGCTTTCAATTTAAATGCCACCAAGTCAAATTTAGAGGAAGGAGGTGCTAGTCGCAGTGATTTGACCTAAATAAAAATATAATTAATCTTTTTGTCCCCTACCGGTTTAACCGGAGGGGACTTTAGGTTTACCCTCCGTCCGTCTGTCCGTCCGTCCGTCTGTCTGTCAGTCCGTCCGTCCACAAAACTGGATCCCGCGATAACGCAAAAAGTACTGAAAATATTTTTATGAAACTTGATATATGGATAGATGGCAGTATGGAGATTATGCACGTCTTTTTCTTTTGTTCCTATGTTGAAAATTCTGGTTGCTATGGCAACAAATAGTCTGAAAATATGGCAAATTTTACACATGAACTGGATCCAGTGATAACTCAAAAAGTACTGAAAATATTTTTATGAAACTTGGAATATGGATTATAGATGGCAGTCTGCAGATTATGCACATCTTTTTCTTTTCTTCCTATGTTAAAAATTCTGGTTGCTATGGCAACAAATAGCCTGAATTTTAAGGTTTCTGATTTAAATTTTTCAGCTTTTTCACTATAAGTTCTTTATTTCTTAACTTCAAACTTTAAATATAAGTTTCTGGTCATCAACCACATCATATGTGACAAGGTTTACAACTCGAAAAAGTATCAGTATTACCTCCCTTGAACTTAGAATTTTTATGAAAAAACCGTCTTTTTTAAATACTTTCTTTATTTCCTAATGTATCTACTTCAAACTTCATATATATGTTTCTTATTATCACTCAACAATTTTGAGAAGGTTAAATACTCTAGCAAGAATATTTCCAGAATTATGTCCCCCTTGAACTTAGATTTTTTTCGAGAAATTGGTATTGTTTACTCCAACTTCTTCATTCCTTATAGGATTTATTTTAAAATCCCACATCGTAATAATATGACAAAGTTGTATAAACATAATTTCCTTACTAGGCAGGGAAACTTAACACATTACTGTGAAATAGACAAAATTAGAACTCAAAAGATTTAAGTTCATTCGGGCCATTTATTCACTGTTAAAATTGAAATCAGAATGTTGCTGGGGTTCTAACCGGTTGGGGACTTATGGATTGCTTGCAATACTATGATAATTGCTTGTTTATTCATGTTATATAATATCCATACATTGAAAAATAGAAAATAATCTGATTTTTTTATGCCCCCCAAGGGAGGCATATTAAAATCGCACCGTTCGTCCCTCTGTGCATCCCCACTTCATTCCTGTCCGGATGTAACTTTGTCATACATTGAGGGATTTTGAAATAACTGTGCACAAATGTCTACCACATCAAGAGGATGTGTCGCGATCAAGAACCACGTCCCTACCTCAAAGGTCAAGGTCACATTATCGTTTTTAAGTTTCTCATTATCGCAATTAGAGTAAGTAAGTACACACATTTGTGTCCGGACTGTAACTTTGTCATGCATCAAATTTTAAAATAACTAGGCATTAATGTCTACCATATCGAGACGATGTGTCACGTCCAAGAATTACATCCCTACCTCAAAGGTCAAGGTCACACTAACATTTTGAAGTTTCCCATCACAATAAGAGTTATGGTACACACATTTTTGGCCGGATTGTAACTTTGTTATGCATCAAAGGATTTTAGAATAACTTGGCATAAATGTCTACCACATCAAGACGATGTGTCGCGTTCAATAATCATGTTCCTACCTCAAAGGTCAAGATCATACTACCATTTTGAAGTTCACTTTATCACAATTAGAGTTTATAGGTACACACATTTGTGTCGGGACTTTAACTTTGTCATGCATCGAAGAATTTTAAAATAACTAGGCATAAATGTCTGCCACATCAAGACGATATTTTGAAACTAAAACCCATGTTCCTTCCTTCAAGGTCAAGGTCACACTTGTAGTTTGAAGGTACTCGTTCTCTCGAGTAGAGTTTTAAGATACACATTCATGTCTGGACTGTAACTTTGTCATGCATGGAAGGATTTTAAAAAAACTTGGCACAAATGTCTATCACATCAAGACAATGTGTCTTGTCCGTCCTGTGTCCCCAGTTACACAACAATCATGTCCAGACTGTTACTTTGTCATGCATTGAGGGATTTTGAAATAACTTGGCACAAATGTCTATCTCATAACAACATTCTGTCGCATCCAGGAACCATGTCCCTTCTTCAAAGGTGAAGGTCACACTTATATTTTGAAGGTTCAAGCTATCACAATTATGTAAGATTACAGGTATAATAATACAAAGAACAATATTAAGCAATTAGTTACCTTCATTTTTGTGTCGCCTCTACGGAGTAGTGGCGACATATAGGGATCACTTCTCCGTCATCTGTCTGTCCGTCTGTCTGTCCGTCACAAAACTTGTCCCGACTACTTCCGGTTGAATGATTTTTGGCCGAGTTATGGCCCTTTGATAAAAAGGTGTTTTTTTCTGTGTGTTGCCAGATACACAAAAGCTTGTCCGGACTACTCCTCAAAAACTACTGGTGCAATTTCATCCAAACTTTACAGGAATGATCAGTACCAAGTCTAGTTGTGCATATTGTCAGTATTTTTCGATTCAATGATTTTTGTCAGAGTTATGGCCCTTTCATAATTTTTATTTTTAAAGTTTGTCCGGACTACTTCTCTTATACCACTAATGCAATTTCAATGAAACTTTACAGGATTGATCTGTAGCTCAAGTCCTTGCGCATATTGCACGGGTTTTCCGGTTGAATGATTTTTGGCCGAGTTATGGCCCTTTGATAAAAAGGTGTTTTTTCTGTGTGTTGCCAGACTGATACACAAAAGCTTGTCCGGACTACTCCTCAAAAACTACTGGTGCAATTTTATCCAAACTTTACAGGAATGATCAGTACCAAGTCTAGTTGTGCATATTGTCAGTATTTACCGATTCAATGATTTTTGTCAGAGTTATGGCCCTTTAATAATTTTTAGCTCACCTGAGCATGCTCAGGTTGAGCTTTTAGGATCGATGATTG